TTGGGCCCGGCCGGGTTTGTGGCAGGAGGGGAGGCGACCCAGCGGGCGCGGGAGTGGGGGCTGGGGTAAGAGACACTGATTGAATAGCAACGACTGCATGATTTATCGTTTGCATTATTGCACGGCTCATTTGAATATATGCTAATCAGGCTGCTTTTTTTTTTTTTTTTTTTTTCCCCCCCCCTGGTTTTGTTTGCAAGATTTAGATTCGCTATGGCAACCCGCTGGCATGGAAGGAGCGCCAGGAAATGTCAGGGCGAGGTGAGCCCCGGGGAGGGGCCGGGGGCGGCCGGGCCGGGGTGGCGGAGGCGGCGGCGGGGGGGACACGGCGCATCCCGGCACCGGGACACGGGCACGGCCGGCGGGACGCGGAGGGCAGCGCCGGGAGCGCCGGGAGCCGCCGGAGCCGCGCACCCCAGCCCTGCCTGCAGGTCCAGTACCGCCCATTGCGACACGTCCCCGAGTGGGCTCGGGAGGCGCCCTGGGGTGCCCCCGGCACCCTGCGGGCCCTCAGAGCGGCCGCTCTGTCGCTGTGTCCCCAGCCCCGCCGAGCGGGTGCCGTGCCCCGGGGCACTGCCCCAGGGTGGCACCCGGGACCCGCAGCGTCCTCGGGGTGCTGGCGGTGCCACCGGGGAGCGACGGAGCCGCGGTGTCCGCAGCCACGGGCGCTCCGTGTCCCCTCCCAGCTGGCCCGGGAGGTGCCCGGTCAGTCCCGGTTTCCTGCAGGCCCAACCGGGGCTGCGCTGCTCCGGGGGGCGCCGGGGGCCCGCGGGGCCGCCGGGGCTTTGTCTCCGCTCGGAGCCGGCGCCGCTCGCTGGGAGGTGCTGGGGGGGTCCGCACCCCAATTTTGGGGGTCGGGGACCTTCCCGTGCCTGCCTGGGATGGGGGGTTTGGGGGTCGTTCCTGCTCCTGTCACGGATCCCTCGGGGGGCGTTCCGAGGGGACATCCCGGGTGGGCGCGGGGTCCCCCCGCTGTCCCCACCCCGCACTGCGGAGCTCAGGGACCGTCCCGGGGCAGCCCCACGGCCACGCGTGACCGCGGGCAGGGCCGGGGACACTCCGGGATGTCACGGAGGCAGGGCCGCCCTCTCCAACCGGGGCCGCTCTCCGCGCAACCGGGGCCGGTTAACGGGGCAGCAGCGAGCCCCGGGGCTGCGGGCCAGCGGCCGCCGCCTCGGCCCCGACGGAACGGAGGTGGCCGGTCCCTCCCGCCGCCTCCAACCGGGGCCGAGGCGGGCACCGGGGGCTGCCGGTGGCCGGTGCAGCCTCCCCCAAACACGCACTTTGTTGTTTTGCGAAAGCCCTGAAATATTCATGGCGCTGCGCCGAGCGCCTCTTAATGAATTTTTGATCAAAACTCCACCAGGGAGCCAAAATACGCCACCCACTCCCCTAAATCGGCGCCGTCGGGGGTGGGGGGACAGCGGCCCCGCCGGTACCGGGCGGCTGGAGGAGCCGGGCCCGGCCCGAGCGCCTTTTACCGGGGGAAGCCCCTGGGCGAGCCGGGGCTCTCGCCTTCACCGAGGGCGGGGGTCGCACCGCGGCACCGGGCACGGGAGTTCCGAGGCTGGCCGCAAGATTTGGGGTGTCCGACGCCCCGGCCAGGCCTCCTGCTCGTCCGGGGCCGGCAGGGAGCGGCCGAGCCCCGGGGAAGCCCCGGTCGGACGGGACGGGCGGCGGGCGGCCGGGGACGCGCATCCCGGCGCCCCCCGGCTCGGCCGCGGGAAATATTCGTTAATGAGGAAATGCATAAGCGGAGCTCATTAGGGGAGAGCGCCGAGCCCGGGGCCTTCCCGGCAGCACCGG